CTGTCACACCACTTCCATCCGAGTTCAAACTCGTCAAGGCCAGCGAGAATGAAGGGGTGGATCAGCGAGAGCAGGCTCATTTTCAGTCAGTGGTGGGGAGCTTGCTCTATGCAGCAGTGCACACTAGGCCGGATGTCTCCTTTGCTGTGGGGCAGCTGGCCAGGGTGGTGCAAAACCCCACCGAGGAGCAGGTGGATGCAGCTAACCGCATCATTAGGTATTTGAACTCCTATCATGCTGTTGGAGTTCAATACTCAGCTGCGGCTCAAAGGAAGCAGAAGGGAGTCGAGGTTCTCAAGGAGAAGGAGGAGTATCTTGGAGAAAGGGAGCTATTCCTCACAGGTTTCTCAAGATGCATCATGGGCCTCGGAAAAGGAAGACATGTCCTCAGTTGGAGGGTATGTGTGTGTGATTGGTGGTGGGCCGATGAGCTGGAGGTCAAAGAAACAGGTAGAAACGGCGGGTTCATCTGTTGAAGCTGAGTACATGGCAATGTATCATGCAGCCAAGGAGCTGATTTGGCTGAAGAAGCTGCTGGAAGAGATAGGGCATGAGCAGAAAACTGGTACTCCACTGTTTTGTGACAACTCTAGTGCCATTGCGATGTCCAAGAACGCTGTGCTGCACGGGCTCACCAAGCACATGCAGATCAAATGGCATTGGCTGCGCAAGGAAGTGCAGAGGGGAACCATTCAACCTATCTACGTGAAGACTCAGCAGGAGCCAGAAGATTTTTTCACGAAGCGTCTGGCTGAAGAACCCCACTGGCGTTGTGCCAAGCTGTGTGGCATGAGCCTTAACTAGGCTCACGCATGAAGGGGGAGTTGGGAGGCAAGCAAGCGACTGCTTGAGGGGGAGTTTGTTGAGTGCGAATGCTATTTTTTGCACATCAAATAGCCGCCTGCATATCACTTCGGATCACACGAACAGTCCACGCACATTCATTTTCACACTTTACTTCATTTGCATTCATGGCGAGTTCACATTTATTCATGAAAGCCCACGACGAGGCATCGCGAATTTCCATGAGTATTCATTTAGTGTTCATGGAGAGGGAGCATTATGCAGATCCACGAGTGTTTCACGAGTCCCCACGAAGCGAGACTCATGAAGAGTCGCGAGTGTTTACGAGGAGTCAATTTTGACTCAGGGAATTTCATCGTGTCAATCAAGGTCAACTGCGCGGAAATATCAGGACCCGCGCGTGGGGTCCTGATCGTGCGTGTGGGCCCTCAAGCCCGCGCGTGTGCCTCGCACTATTGCAAGCGTGCACTGTGGGCACGATTGCAATAGGACAGGGCGAATGATCGCCCTGCCCACGCGCAGCACTACGCACGTCCGTGCACAGTACCGCACGACCGAAATATCGGTCGTGCATGATTGCGGGAAAGGACGAGCTTGGGATTACGGTTGGAAAACCAAATCCCGCATTGACTCGGCGTACAGGTAGCTTCGCCGGAAACGTCATGCACGTAACGCGGCATTTCCGATATAGGGAGAAAACAGTGAAAACCGTTTTTCAACTGAGAGACTTTGTGAAAACGGTAATCCCACACGAGCGTTCATAATTGCCAACGAGAATTCATGAGTACTCATGTGTGGAGTCAGCAAGGGCATTTGGCACACATAAAATTTGAAGACAGTTTTCTTCAACTAGCAAATCAAACCAAATTCCGCAGCAGTTCGACAACCGTTTTCTTTGGCATATCTGGCAAAGTCCTGGACTCTAGTTAAACAACCATTTTGTGTGTTTTCCTTCTGTGTGCTTAGGAGTTTATATAAAATGCATGCTTCTACTAGCTTGGATCAATAAATGATGTTATGCTTTCACTCTGGAATTCAACTACTACGTATTGACGAGAGTAGAAACGCTCACATGGTGCTGTCGAAATGCTGCTCGACCAGATCTCTCACCCTGCAAGCGAGCTAAGCATAACTACTCCCTTATATGTTTTTCTAGGCCCTTGGCTAGGAGGTGACAAGTTGTCACACTCGGAGGGCCTTAAGGGAAGTTAAGTGTTGCTAAGTTTCAGCTGTTAGCGAAGTTTTAAACGCTTCCGCATAGGCTATAGCTGTTAACATGCACAAGGTGATTTTCCTTTGTCGTGCATGCTGACAAAGATGCGTGGGCAGGTGCATACTGTGTTTGAGAACCCAAACATATGAGAATGATTTGTTTTTCCTCTGTCAGCACGCAATAAAGTTCTCCGTGACGAAATTCAATCGTCTGCGTGGGTATGTTTAGTATACTTCGTCTCGCACAAGGTGTTTTTTTCATTGTCGTCCATGCTGACAAAGATTCGAGGGCAAATGCATACCGTGCATGCGAACCCAAACACACGAGAATGATTTTTTTTTTCCTCACCACTCGATCAACTTCTCTGTGACGAAACTGCCTCGTGTGTGTGGGTGTGAACAGTGCACCCTCGCCTCGCACAATGTGTTTTTTCTTTGTCGTGCATGCTGACAAAGATTCGTGGGCAAATGCATCTTGTGCATGAGAAACATGGAAATATTTTTTCCTCGGTCAGCATGTGCTCCCATGCTTTGTATCGTAATTTGTTTATTAGTGGTTGAAATACTGATCGTGACTTGTAGACGAGTGTTCATCAAGTGTGTTCTGTTGTGCTTGAAGAGTTTCTGCGAATGGATCAAGAGTAACACATGTCGCAATCTTGTGGCGAGACGTTTTCGTTGCTCGCGTGGAGGTACGGTTACTCGCCAAATGTAAAAAAACCCTAACTTCGTTGAGATGCATTCTCAGGGATTTCTCAACGGATTTCGCATCCGTCGCTCCCGTCGCTCGCCCCTGGATGTCGAGCAGCGATTTGCAACCCATTCCGTTGCTCTCTGTCGTTGGTTCCAAGGGGGGCCAGGTGTTTCCCTCTCACCCAAACCTTCCCGTTGAGATGAACCACCCCGGAACCCTAAGAATACGAAGAAAAAGGAAGTTCTCTTACAGCGTCCCTCGCTTCAATGTCGCTTCCCTTGTCCAAAATATTCAGCACTTCATCAAAGTTCCCCTCCCTAATCACTTTGTGCAACAGGCGTGGATCTGGAATATGCGTTTGTTAGTTCTTGGAACAACTCACGCATACTCCTAAAAAACACAAACAACCTACCCTCCATTTCGGCTAGGTTTAAGTTTCCGATACGCTACTAGGTTTATGTGCACAGACAATGAAAGCCAGACCATTGTTTCTAAAATGCTGCTTGATAGCCTATTTTCGCCCAATGCGACGCGGCCTAAACCGGCTTGTTGAGAGATCAAACACAATGAGGCTATCTGCTGGCGTGACCCAATGGTTTTGAGTGAGATGAGGTGAGGAGGTGTTCGCGTCCCATCAACGACCACACGGGTTAGATTTTCCGAAGTTGAGGTGATATTACAGTGGGATGGTTACCCGACTGCATGCATTCAGCAAGTGAATTTTGAGTGTGGTCCGTCAGATTTCCATTTCGTTTCCTAGTTCGTACCCAATCTCGATCGTTTTCGCGACAACCCCACCCCTCGTCGCGAATGGTCGTCACACCTCGCGGATTTTTGTTTTGTTACTAGAGAACCTGCCTGGATATGATCTCAACCTCGAACATGCCTCTTCTCGGTCCAAATGCTACGCCTGACCTGTCGTTTCAGAATGTAGGCCACAAAAAATGAATTGGTGATACTTACTCAGGACGACAATCCCGCCAGCTTGCGGTCGACATCTCTAGGTCGGGTCTGGTTTACAATGAGCCAATCGGATCTAGATCATGTCCTTGTTATAAGTACATCCCAAAAATTGATGCTTCAGAAAGCTACGTTGGGGTATCGTCAGGGTTGCGGGGGGGGGGGGGTTGTTTTTCAGAAGCTATTTTCACGACAATGGGAAACATACGTTTCCAGGGGGGTCTAAGCTCGGCATGTGTTCTTAGGTTTGGCAAACGTATGTTCCAGGTTATCGTAGAGGTAGGATTGAATCTGAGTTTGCAGCACACAATGCGGCTCTCCCACAAAGTAGGAACGTTCAAGATTCGTTCGCGAAATATCTGGGGAAGTTGATGGGGATTGTTACTCTCTGTCTATGTGGATGCGAAACAAACTCTTCGTGTCCATGTGTCTGCTTCCTGCAAGCTGAAAGAGATTACGACACCCCCGTTACGGGCCTCCTCACTACACCAAAGCAAGAGACAATTTCAAAAATGCATTCGATTTTCATATTTATGTTGATTGGTAATCACGCTCATATCTGACGGCTGACGCGTTGACACGTGTACAACGATTCTGGGTGCTCAAACGCGCGCTATAAACCACCTCACGCTTCGTATTACATTGCTACTGGGTTACTACGGTTATTCATTTGTAACATCACTAATATTCTATTTACAATTGCATGCTATAACCTCTTTTGTAATTGGTATATAATGAATTGCCACAATTATAATTTTAGAAATACATTAAATAAAAACAGACAGAACACATTATATCCACAATAATAAAACACAATTATTTCAGATTTTCCGAAATAGGTCCACTATCATTTTTCCTGCAAATTAGATCGGAGCAACACCCACACCACCACCGAGCGGGTGTGCGGTATGGCCCAGACCGATGCCATCATCGCTAATGAACACCATCCGACTTTCACGATGGAACGACCACGCATTGTTCTCGGGCTTCCAGAGTGGCCCTGTTGTTGCTGTCCTTGCGCGAATGGCAGCACGAGCCCAGTTCCTCTTGCAGGAATGAAGCGGTGATGGCTCGAATGAAAACGTCGGTAGAGAAAGGCACGCCATCTTTGTTCCTGCTCCATGTCATCAAGCCATGTGATGTCGCGTCTGGTTTAGGGTGAGGGATTTGCAATGAAAAGTGCATATAAAAGGGTTTAGGGTTCTATCATATATGGGAGTGTTGCGACACCTGTGACGGGAGCAGCATAAGCGGTGAAACAAAAGAGGGCGTATACTGGAGAATAAAAACGGAGGGGATGAATGCAGTTGGGAGGGGGAGGGGTTGGGATTTATAGTGGAGGGAGAAAAGGAGGGGATGATCCCAGGGGGGGTGAGATCTGAAGGGGATAGGGGAAAGGAGGGGATGAATCCAGGGGCAGGTGCGATCTGAAGGGGAGGAGGGAAAGAAGGGATGAATCCAAGGGGGCTAGGGGGGTCTGAAGGGAGGGGGGGAAAGAGGGGATGAATTTAAAGGTCGGGTGCGAATCTGGCTCCTTGCCTTTCATGCCCACTGCACTGTTTGTTGCCGACGTGGGCGCTCGGTGCACCCTCGCGCCCTTGGGAGAATCGAAAGACTCAGGGGAGGGAGGGAAAGAAGGGATGAATCCAGGGGGGAGATGCGATCTGAAGGGGAGGGGGGAAAGGTTTGGATGAGTCCAAATGGCGGGTGTGATCTGAAGGGGAGGGAGGGAAAGAATGGATGATTCCAAGGGGGGCGGGGGGATCTGAAGGGGAGGGGGGAAAGGAGGAGATGAATCCAAAGGGCGGGTGCGATCTGAAGGGGAGGGGGGAAAGGGTTGGATGAGTCCAAAGGGCGGGTGCGATCTGAAGGGGAGGGAGGGAAAGAAGGGATGATTCCAAGAGGGGTGGGGGGATCCGAAGGGGAGGGGGGAAAGGAGGGGATGAATCCAAAGGGCGGGTGCAATCTGAAGGGGAGGGGGGAAAGGGTTGGATGAGTCCAAAGGGTGGGTGCGATATGAACGGGAGGGAGGGAAAGAAGGGATGATTCTAAGGGGGGTGGGGGGATCTGAAGGGGAGGGGGGAAAGGAGGGGATGAATCCAAAGGGTGGGTGCGATCTGAAGGAGATGGGGGAAAGGGTTGGATGAGTCCAAAGGGCGGGTGCGATATGAAGGGGAGGGGGGAAAGGAGGAGATGAAGCGGGTGCGATCTGCTTGCGTGGGATGGAAAGAAGGGATGGATGCAGGGGGGGATGCGATCCGAAGGAGAGGGGGGAAAGGAGGGGATGAATCCAGCGGGGGGGGGGGGGGGGGGGGGGAAAGGGGAGGGGGGATCTGAAGGGGAGGGGGAAAAGGATGGGACGAATCCAGGGGGCGGGTGCGATCTGAAGGGGAGGGAGGGAAAGAAGGGATGAATACAGGGGGGAGTTGCGATCTGAAGGGGATGGGGGAAAGAAAGGGATGAATCCAAATGGCGGGTGCGATCTGGAGGGGAGAGAGGGGAAAGAAGGGATGAATCCAGGGGGAAGATGTGATCTGAAGGGGAGGGGGGAAAGGAGGGGCTGATTGCAGTGATGCTCTGGGTAGCAGGGGATATGTATGTGTGGTATTTTGGGAACACAAATAGGGATGTGAAGATGAGTAACCGAATTATTGCAATTACCGTACGCATAGCAAATACATAAGGACTAATATGATGTATGATAAAAGAACAAATGCTTAGAGGTAGCACGCAAAGCTGGGAGGAACTAGCAAGATGACGGGAGAGAATGATAAATAGGAGTGTGTGTGGAAATACACAGGGTGGGAGGTGAAGAAATGCAAGATGGTGCGAGTTGGCTTACATACCTGCATGATAGGTAGCACGGAACGCCGACATCTCCATCTTCCCGTTGTTAACTCCGGGCTTGCGCACACCGACGGTGGTGTCAATGTTGAATGCCTTGATCACAATGACACGAGCAGGAGCGAGGATGTCGTAGTGATAGTCTTGAAAGAATTTGCGGATGTAGCTTGTCCGAAGACCGTCAAGTTCGTAGACCAGCTCAAGCCGATCATACTGCCATTGCTGGGTAAAGCCTAGGGCCTGACCAAGCGCCTGCAGCAATGCTCTCCTACTTGGTTAAAAGCTGATGTCAACGTCAGCTCTCTCCCAAAAAAGTATATCCCTGGCGCAGATCACTTTTCCCTGGGGGTGTGAAGTTTGCGATCAAATGTCATGAGTGGGGCATAAATAACAAAACATGGAGAAATGGAGCCACCAAGGGCACGGGGGAAACAATTGAAAACGGTTTGCATTGCATTGAAAGGGCAATGCAAGTAGGCACATGCATACAAGCAGCTTATGCAAGTAGCACATGCAATCAGCACATTCAAGAAGCACATGCAAGCGGCACATGTGAGAACAACATACAATCGGTACATGCAAGCAGCACATGCAAGCAGCACATGCAAGCAACACATGCAAGCATCACATGCAAACAGTACATGCAAGCAGCACATGCAAGCAGCACATGCAAGCACTTGCTGCATGAAGCACATGCAAGCAGCACGTGCAAGCAACACATACAAGCAGCTGTGGTGACATACCACATGGAATGGGCAGTTTGATTCGAGCTTAGTTTTAGACTTACACGAAGTCCAGTTCTGACGTTTGGGATGGCCTTCATTGCACGGTCCACTCTGCAGGCCCAGTCTTGGTCTTGTGGTGCCACATAGTGCATCGTGAATTGCAAATAAGTTTTTTTGGCAACAGATAGCTGTTTAGCTATCTCTGCCCGAGTCAAGGCTGCCGTAGAACCCATGTACGGACCTGCCACATGTTGAGGGGGGGTCTGCATGTGTGACAGAACACACGGTCAAACAAAATGGGAAAATAGAGAGGGTTGGCAATGCATGGTTTGATCTTTGCATGCAAAAGGATCTAACAGGCAGCAAGTGAACAAGGGAGCAGCGTCGTTACCATCATGGTATTGCAAATGACATACGTTATGATGTTGCTCTTACAATGGTTAGCGTGTGATGCAAGCGGAATCGAATATTGGAGATGATATTAAGTCATGCTATTCACGGCTAGGCTTACCTGGGGGGGCCATGGGGCACTCGTTAATGGTCCAGGGGCAGCTGGCTCGGTCCGACCAACGCTATCCTCTCGGTTGGTGTCATTTCCGGATGCACCGCTAGAGGATCCCGGCGAACACCGGCGAAGGAGCTGGTTCTCGTTTTCCTTCTCTTTCAGCTTACGCTTCAACTCACAGATCTGCGCCATTTAGTCATCTGCTGCTGCAATTTGGTCACCAGCGTGGCTACGGGCACAATCAGCTAAGAGGTTGGGGACAAGTACATTCGCTCCAACATGGTGGTACGCCTCTTCCAGCACCACTTCTTCGAAAGCGTTGACGTGGTGCATGGCTGCACTGGCTGAAGCATAGCCAGGTGGCACATTGGCAATGGGCTTATTAACACCTTGCCGCAGCCCTTAACTTGGCGAGCCGCTTCCCTGCTGACCAGTGCTGGCGGCGCCAACACCTTGCTCTTGGCGAGCCGCTTCCCTGCTGCTAACCAGTGTTGGCCGCGCCAACACCTTGATGCAGCCCGTAGCTTGGCGAGCCGCTTCCCTGCTGCTGACCGGTGCTGGCGGCGCCAACACATTGCTGCAGCCCATAGCTTGGCGAGCCGCTTCCCTGCTGCTGACCAGTGCTGGCGCCGCCAACAACTTGCTGCTGCCCATAGCTTGGCGAGCCGCATGTCTGCTGCTGACCAGTGCTGGCGGCGCCAACACCTTGCTGCACCCCGTAGTTTGGCGAGGCGCTTCCCTGCTGCTGACCAGTGCTGGCGGCGCCAACACCTTGCTGCTGCCCATAGCTTTGCGAGCCGCTTGCGAGCTGCTGACCATCGATGTGAGCATCAATTGTGGGGTGCTGCCCATAGCTGGCCTGCTTGGCTGCGGGCTGCAGGCCAGAGCCTACATCGCGAAAAAGGGTTTGGCCAATTTTTGAGTTTAAGTCTGAAAGCTGCAGGAAAGTTGCTGACTTGTATCCTGAATGTATCCAAAAATCATGACTAAAAAAAGCAACTCACACAAACGTAGGATACAAGGGGTAACCGAGCCGCAAATTTTGGATACGTGGGTAACCCGAGGCGTGATTTTCGGATTCGTGGGTTTCTCGGACCGCACATTTCTAGCATCAAATTCAACACCTCGGCACTGAACAGCACACCTGGTCACGACCAAAATGTGGGAGTCTCCCTTGCTGTGAAACTGCAGGTGTCCGATAGATGAACACTTGGCACAAATTAGGTTAGCATTATCGAAATTTGCGAACATGGTAACGTGGATACAAACCGGACGACCGTCGCCAAGGTTCAACCAGGAATCGGAGCTGGCAACAGGCACAAGGGTTCACAGTCACACCCAATCAGTGCTAAGTGTTCATATTTCGGGTACTGACGTGGCTTCCACGGACCAAGGTTCAGCTAACCCGTAACGAAGTGGTCGAACCTAATGATTTTTTACTAACCAATCACTGGGGTGCTCTTACCTTCAGCAAAAATCAACGGCATATTTTGACGACACTTCAGCACACCTCCAAGCTCTAGAAGCATCTATCTTTCTTACCCTCACTCTGCGCATGACTCTCTCCCGACCAAACACCCGTCACCTGCCTCATTTTCACACAACTGACTAAGGTTCTTCACATCTCCTGCCTCTGAGTGTCCTCTTAGCACAATTAGCGTCTACCTAAAGACCACATCACTTCTACGCGTTATTGCATTATATTACCACTGCTTAGTAACTCAGACCCATGTTATCAATTCGGCCCCTGCGAATCCTCCCCTATCCTTTTACAGATTACACAGCAACGTTTTCTACACGCGGAGAACGTGGCACCAGCGAATAGTAACGGAATCGCCGGGTTCCGCGCGAAAAGCGCCGAAAGGTGTGCTACACATGCTTTTTGTAACTCGTAACCAAGCTATCATTTTCCCGTGCGTGTGCCTTAGGTTGTAACTCGTTCATATATTCTCACGGGTTATGCTTCGCGAGCAATTGATCTGTTCGTATCTTCCCGATATGTGTGCAGATCTGTCGCGATGGCTTGTAAGTTCCTTTTTTTCCCGCCCCTGCCAGTCCTCCCATTCCTTAGTGCATTTTAATTAGTTGCACTTCTTTTTTTTCCCAGCCTCCCAATACTGCTCGTCGGCATGCTCACTGCATTACTAGGACCAGTGGCCCGCGAATCGTGTGGGACACGGCGTCTTCAGCGCGAGAAACGCGGTGAGTGTGGTAGTCGCACCAAGGCCTCTCTCTGCCTCTGCTTGAGCTTTTAACCATGCGCGCTTCTAACCCCATAGTTGTCTGCAGTCCAGCCTGTAACGATAATATTATTATGTCTTTTGTTGATGTAGTCATCGTGTTTCAGGGCTGATTTCCATGTGCAGAGTTCATGGAAGTCAATAGATGTTTCCAGGCGTTTGAACAATACCCAGAAGCTCTCAAGCATATCTAAGGCAATGTTATGAGTGACGGTGAAGGCCCGCTGGTGGTAAGTCACTGAGGTGGGGAACAAGCACATGACTAACCAAAGTCTAGCGTTATGTCATTGTTTTGTTTGCAGGCGTTAAAACGACACATTTTTTCGCCATGTGTGCCCTTCATATAAGATGTTTAGCTACGTCTAAGTACTTGTGTCTAGCTGTGTTCGTTGTTTTGTTGTGTTATCGCAAAGTGTATACTTCAGAAGTATGTACGCAAATGTCAGAAATATTGTGTTGCATACAAATGTATACATAAAAAATAGCAATAAAAATCAGCCAGTGAAACGAAATCTCCATTTGTGCGGTTAGGCAAAACGGCGGCTTGTAGAAATCAAGTTTCGCACACTTCAAGGTCATGTCTGATTGGCCCACATGGCAAGTTGTCGTACACATATCGAGAATGACACCTGGCACAAATATCTTTGCTTACATGGCAAAAAATCTTCACGTACGTACCAGCGTACGTACACTACGAAGTCGAAACTGTACGCAGGCCACGTGGCAGGTGGTGAAACTGCATACATGTGACTGAAATGTATACGCAACGTGTCCAAAGATTGTCTGATAAGTTGCAGGTTGTGTTGCGGGAAAGTTGCAGGAATGCAACTTTTTCGCAACTTTCCCGCAACCACTATCTCTGCAACATTTGACCATAGCTGGAAAGTTGCAAAACCAAGGTATCCAAAAAGTATCCTTTTTGCAACATTCCCGGCAGCTTTATGGCAAGCCCTTTTTCGCGATGTGCTTGAGCGACTGGAGTATTCAAAACAACAGTGGTATACACGACAACGGGGCATGAGTCTTGTGGGAGAATAGGAGCTACACCGCAAAAAGATAAAGCTGCAGGGCCGGCCGAGTTTAGTTCTTTCTGCTGCCCACAGCTGAGCGCAGCGAGACCTTGATTCTGCCCTGCGCTTGGCCTGCGCAACAGTGGACTGCCTTCCAGCCTGTGCTTGAGGGACAACGGTGGATGCATTTTGTGGAATGACAGGAGCGCTTCCGCGAACAATAGGAGGTGCAGGGGCGGCCTCGGTGAGAGGAGATTGCAAGGGTTGGGAGACCGGCATAAGCTTCAGACGCCCTGAACACAAAAAGTGAACCGTGTCAATCAGCGCATTGGTGGTTGGAGCTGAGCTGATTGAAAATTATGAAACCTTGTCCGGAGTCACACATTGTACATTCCGCCTACCGTTTCGCAGATTGGCTGTTTGCGGTACCACTCCCGCTACGCTTTTGTCGAGCTTGCTGCTGATGCTGCTTCCTTCTCGAGACGAACTACAATTCTTGTGCTCCTTCCCCCTGGGAGCAGGCGCGTCGGTTTACGATTTGGGCTTCAACATGCAATAC